TAAGCTTGATAATCATGACTTCACCGTGTTAAGTGGTCGCACAAAAACTACACGCGCGGGGTTGCGACCAAACCCCGCGAACACTTTTTGTGACGTTGGAGTACGCGTCAAAGACCAGCCAGTCTTGTATGAAGCTCTCCGGTGGTTGTTTACTATGAGACAATGGCTGAAAGTACTGGGTAATAGGGCAAGTGTTGGCAACCGAAGCACCTGTAGCTTGAGAGACACTTGCCAGAATCATTTTCTTGTAGACTTGAAGGTAATATGAGAGCATGGAGGTAGGTGTCTGCAATAAGAAGGCTTCCATATTTTCTGGGAATAGGTGGGCATGGGACGGACAGGTTTGAGATTTTAAAGCAAATAAGGTCTGAAAACCTTGATTCAATCTCATTGGTAGTATGAGGTTGTTCTTGATTTTGATTTCAGCTAAATCTGTAAACAACCAAGACATGTGCTTGCCCCAGGCATGCTACTGATCTACTACTGTTGCCACAGTACTGAAGCACCGGTAATAGTTTTGAGATCATCACATTGGGTCAACCGCCCACCTGCATAGAATATGCCCCTTCTTCACAGGTGCTTGCCCCCAGTACATGCTACTGATTTACAAGGGAGTTGAACCAAGGAAGTACAACTTAAGCTTCACCACTCTACCACTCCTAGTAATACATAGTACTAAAACTGACACTTGCAATCTATGAATGAACCTCATATATGTACTAGCTTCTCAACATAGATAAGTGCAAATGCTAGCTCTAGCTGGTGCTGTAGCTATCGTATAGCATTGGCCAGCTAATGTACGGTCTCAGTCGTACATTTTGGGCCATGTTTTTCCCGTGTAAAATATGTCGAGCGCGCCGACTGACATCACAAAATCTTGTCGGAACACACCATTTTTTCTATAGAAATTTTGTCATGATGTCTGTCGGAGTGCTTGAAATAAAGTCTCGATGAACATATTTACCTACAATAACATCCGATGCTGCACCTTTACTGATACTCTATGATGCTGATAGCAGGGAGGCAACTCCTTGTCAGTTGCTGGACACAGAGGAGTCCTCACCACTATGTGCTGAAGCTACCACAATTCCAGTGAGAGCGCTTCTCGTTCCGACAACCGACATCTTCTTGCCCTGCCTCCATCGACACTAGTATCCTCACTAATAAGCAACAGTATCTCTCCAGCAACAATATCAGCAACAGTATCACCAGTAACAGTATCAGGAACGCCATTGATCCAAGGAAGCCTCGCACGCATCGACGATATCAGCATCCTCCGTATCAACGATATCAGCAACGCACGCAGCAGTAATCAGAAGGGACACTCTCCAGGATCAGCATCCTCCGTATCAGCATCCTCCGTATTATCAGCAAGAACACGTATCAGCGAGCCTCCGTATCGACGATATCAGCATCCTCCGTATCGACGATATCAGCATCCTCCTCCGTATCAGCATCAACAGTATCATCAATGCCACTCAACAATATAACCAACCGATGTTCATCAAGAACAAGGACAACACAACAACCAGCCTTACGACAACAACGAGCTCTCTTTGAGTCCCAAGAATCCGCCTTTG